CACGCATCCTTGGCCTTTTGCTTTTCTATATAAATTTCAGAATCAGCTTTGTCAAATTATTTAATATAAGTTCTTTAAGCAAAACCTTTTGGGATCTGGGTTAGAATTGCAGTGACTCTACAAATCAATTAGTTAGAACTGACATCTTTAAGAATTCAAGTCTTCTAATATGTGACATGGTATATCTCTCCATTTATTTAGGTCTTCTTCATGGGCTTTCACTAAAGATTTATCTTATATATTTTGGTTACATTTATTCTTGAATACTTTACTATTTATCGTCAATCAATAAATTATATATATATTAGATTTCTGCTTGGTTTTTTTGGTATATAGAAATGCACTTTTTAAAAACATTCATTTTGAATCTAAGAAACTAGCTAAACTCTCTTACCATGTCGAATTATTTATTTGTAAGTTCTTTAGGATTTCTACATAACTGTTTATATCTTCTGTGAGTAGTGATAGTTTTGATTTTTTACTTTCCATCCTTTGTCATTTTTTTCCCTCTTTCTTGCCTTTCTGTGTTTGCTAAGGCTACTGGTAAAATGTTGAAGAGAAGGTGCTTTCAAGGTTGCATCATAGTTGTTAGGTTTGCTGTAGGTTTTCCATCAGGTTAACAAAGTTTTCCTCTATTCTTATTCTGTCAGAACTTTATTCATGAGTGTGAAAGTTTATCAAATACTTTTTTCATCAATTAAAATCATTGTGATTTTTCTTCTTTAATCTTTTATTATGAAGAATTATATGAATGGATTTTTCAATGTTTAAACAACCTTGCATTCCTGAGATCATTGAACCCAATGCAGTAATGATGTATTTGCTATTTTATTCTTTCATGAAATGAATTAGCTAATATTTTGTTTTAGATATTTGTAACAATGTTAATGAGTGAAAGCAGCCTATAATTTTCCTTTCTCAAACTTTGTTACTGGGCTTGGTATCAAGATTATGCCTCACGAAATAAATTAGGAAGTATTCCTTCTTTTTTTACTTCTCTTGAAACATATGTATAATATCGGGATTTTTTCTACAGGGCTTTGCAGAACTTTCTGGGCTAATGTGTGATTGTGCAAATTTTAAATTATTAATTTAATGTTTATAAACCATTCAGATTTCCTTTCTTCTTTCAAGAAAATGGATTCTTCAAATTTTTCTCATATTTTTATACTTCTATAGTATCTACATCATTGACCCCATTTTTCATTTCTTATATTGGCATTTCTGCTATCTCTTTTTTTAACCATTCTCACCAGATGTTTGACAGTTTTATCAGTTTTCTCAAATAAACAACTTTTTATTCTCTTTTATATTTGTTTCTACTTAGTTTCTGTTCTTTGTTATTTCTCAATTTATTCTATTATTCATTTTATAATTTTTAAATTTTTATACTTCTTAATTTTCAGCACTTCTTCTTATATTAAGCATTTAATACTATAAATTTTCCTATAAGTTACACTTTAGCTTCAGACACACACAGAGAGAAACATGCAAACATACATGTTCTTATATTGTTCTTATCATCTGAGTTCTAAATATTTTCTGATTTCTATTATAATTTTTTTCTTTGGTCTATAAATTAGGCCTGTGTGTATCTTAATTTTTAACCTGTGTGGGTTTTCCCGGTTACTTTTTGTTGTTTGCATCTAATTGCTCTTTGATCAGAGAATGTCAGCAGTATGATTCCAACACTTTGAAATGTCTTGAGACTTGCTTTACAGCCTAGGACTTAGTAAACTAATTTTTACTAATGTTCTACATTGCTTCAAAACAATGCATTCTGCATTTGTTAGGTTCTTGTTCCATATATGCCTGTTAAATAAAGCTAATTTACTCTATGTGTTAGCTTGCTAGGGCTGCCAAAACAAAGTATTAGACTGGGTAGTTTAAACAACAGAAATTTATTCTCTTACAGTTCTGGAGATTAGAAGTCAGAGATCAAGGTAGCAGGGTTGGTTTCTGAGACCTCTCTTCTTGTCTTACAGCTGGTCTCTCCCTGTGACTTTATGTGGTGTTTCTTCTGTGTCCAAATCTCCTCCTCTTATAAGGACACCAGTCCTATTGGATTAGGGCCCACTCTAACGACCTCATTTTAACTTTATTACCTCTTTAAAGACCCTCTCTCCAAATATGGTCACATTCTCAGGTACTGGGATTTAGGACTTCAACATAGGAATTTCGGGAGAGACACAATTCAGTCCATGACAGGTACTTTTCAAATTCTCCATATGGTTAAATATTTTCTTGCTTGCTTTCAGTTACTGAGTGAAGCAGTCATTTTGCACTGTGATGATGAATTTTTTTCTGTTTCTCTATACAGTTCTGTCAATTTTTGCTTTATATATCTTGAGGCTATGTTTTTAGTGTATATAAGTTTAGAATTTTTATAGCTACCTGTTGAATTGAACATTTAATTATCTCTAGCAATGCTTTTTATCTTTTATTTTGTCTGTTAAAATATAGTTATATTAGCTTCCTTTTCATCGAAGTGTGTGTGGTAAATATGTTTTCATCCTTTTATCTCTACTTCTTATCATTATGTTTTTTGATGTTTCTTTTGTAAACAGCATATAGCTGGGGTTTTTAAGATTTGATCTGATATTTTTCTTCCGAATAGAGTATCAAGTCCATTTGTATTTATTATAATAAATGATATATTTTGATTCTTTTCTAACTTACTTTTTGTGAGAGACATTATAAAAATAGTTTTTAAGAGAACAGACTCTGAGAAATACTGCCTAGGTTTGAATATCAGCTCTATTACTACCTGTCTAACCTTGGACTAGTTACGCAGGCTGTGTTTCCTCATCTCTAAAATGGGTATAATAATAACCCTACCTCATAGCACTATTATAAATACTGAGTTAATAAAGTGCTAATAATAGTGCTGGGCACATAAAAAGAGCTATATACATGCTTTCTGTTAATATGTTTATCATTATAATTATTAATTTAAATTGACATGTTTTTTTCTGTTCCTCTTTTTTTTTTCTTTTTTTTATAGAGTACTTTTTTTCTTATTTCACTTCTTTCCCTCCTCTAATTTGGAAATAATATTCTCTGTTCTATGCTTTTAGAGTTACCCTAGAAATTTATCAAGCACACAATTTATCACAGCTTAAAGTTATTTCTTACCTTTACCCTTCTCTTGAATAATACAAGAATTTTATAACATTTTAGCTCTGATCATCCCCTTTTTGACTTATATATAGTATTGTTATATTCTAGATTTTTCTCAATTTTAAACCTCAGAAATTTTTGTTATTGCTTTATATAGTCAATAATTGTTTGGTTTTATTCACTTATTTACCATTTTCTTTGCCAATCATTTCTTTTTACAGCTCAAATATTCCATCTGATCACAGTGCCTTTCTGCCTGAATTATATCTTTGTAATGGGAACTGCTCGTGGCAAAATTTCTGTTTTTATTGTCTAAAAATACCTGTATATAATAACCTTTTGAAAAAGGAATGTAACTTAATAAGAGGGTCTGTCAACAAATCTAGGTTATCTTCTTTCAGCATATTGAAGATATAATTCCATAGTTTTTTTAGCTTCCATACTGGCTATTGAGAAGTAAGATTGCTTTTAAAACTATTTAGTCTTTGGTGTTCCTCAGTGTCACTAAGATGTTTTAAATATGAGTTTCTTTTTAATTTATGCTAACTAGTTCTTGGATTTGTGTATTGCTGTCTTTCATCTATTGTAGAAAATTTTTACCCATCAAATATTCAAATATTGCCTCTCTTCTTTTTATTCATTTTTTTCTGAAAGTCAAGTTAGATATAAATCAGATCTTATCACTCTGTTCTTCATGTCTTTTGATCTCTTTCTTATTTTCTCTTTGTCTCTCTTTTACATTCTGGATAGTCTCTTCAGACTTGTCTTCTACTTCACTAATTCTTTAGCTATTAAACATTTTCATGAAATTTTTTAATTTCATGTTTTAATCTCTAAAAGTTTGATTTTTTATTAATTTCAAGATCTATTTGATAACTTTAAAAACATGTAATTTTTTTGTATTTGTGTCTGATAAGTGCAGTATTTGAAGTCTTTCTGCATCTAATTTGGCCTTCTGTTATTTCTATTGTATCTCACTGAGTGTGCATTGTTTCTAAGTGTAATCACTTTCTCTCCTATTTATCTCTATTTGTTTTTACTATGAGCATATGATTTTTGCAATTTTATAGTGATTCTTTGAGGCCTAGTTTGAAGATAAGGTCATTCACTTCTGCTGGGTACCTGGGAGTACATCTTATATTGTACCACTTTAAACTAAATTATCATCTTGAGGTTTCTTAGAACACACCAGTATTGAAAACTTGGTCTGCCAACTTGCATGTTCATTGGCTTGCCATTAAACATTTTTAGGGTAGCTCCCTCAACTCAGCACCAAAATTTAAGACTAACAAATATCCTTGTAGATTTAGGGGCATAGTGATTTGAGAGAAAGTATAACCATTTTGGGCACTAGCTTCATGTGAGGAGCTTCCTATTACACTCTCCACCCAAATAAGCCCTCGGTTTTGACTCTTGTCCCAACAAGGGCCAGGCATCCAATTGCACACTACAGAATTAAAGGGGAAATCTTTCACATAAACTACACCTTTCACATAGATATAGACTGTAGTTTATATGAAAGGTGCCCCTTGGAGTTGTGCAGTGTCCAACCTGCACAACCATATGTGGTGGTCCTGTCTCCATCCCCACAAGATGGTGAAAGCTAAAGTTCAAGTTCACCAGGTTCAATGAGTGCCCTCAAGGTGAAAGCTGGGTTTAGTGCTTTGGTTTTATAATTATACAACTGACAGAACTTGAATGAAGAATGAAGGCAGTATCTCCTCCCTTTTGAAGTCCTTAAAAAGGTAGGCATATTAATATCTGATAAATTGAATTGATTTGTCAGACATAATTTCAACAAAAATACCCATCATTTGCCCCATTAAAAGAACTATAATGTGATAAGAGGGTGTTTATTGTTTTGCTTTGTTTATTTTTAGATGTGGACTTTCCAGTTGTTCTCCAGCCTTCAAATGCAAATGAGAAAACACAGCTAATCAGAGAAGAACCTCGATGCTACTGCACAGACTCTTGATAGTGACCCCACTGAGAGTCCACAGGACCTCCCCTTGGTTCAGCCACATCTCCAGGTGGTCATGGGGGAGCATGTGGGGCATAAAATGCTGTGAACTTTTCCATATTTGTATTTTATTTTTAGGTTAGGGAAAGATGATTGCTACATAATTTTCTCAGTATGCAGACTTTCTCTTTGAGTAGAATTCCTAATGAAACACATTCAACTTTGACAAATAAAGGCCTGAGGAGTTATTTTATGTTCTTTGCATGAGGTAAGACAGTGGCACTGGACAGCCTGTATGAGCCAGCCTTTTATGTGAGCCAGACCTGATTCCTCACAGACCAAAGTCATATCCAAAACAGAAGCCGCTTTTCATCCATTTAACTAAATGCAGTATTCATATCTACCATGAACATCGTCACCAAAATACAAATGAGAATTTACAAGGACTTTTTTTGTGTGTGTAGCCTTTTCCCTGTCAATATTCAATAAGGTTACAGAAGTATTTCAAGAGGCAGGAAGAGATGGTTAGATTTTAAAAAGACAAATCCCATTATTTTAAAGTATATTTTTGGAACATTAAAAATTGGCATTTACTGAAAATTGACAAGTAAAACCAGGAGGAAACAGGTTTCGTGTGTACTTCTTGGTTGGCTTAAAAATAAAACAAGGCCAGGCGAGGTGGCTCATGCCTGTAATCCTAGCACTCTGGGAGGCCGAGGCAGGAGGATCGCTTGAGCTCAGGAGTGAGACCAGCCTGAGCAATAGCAAGACCCATCTCTACCAAAAACCCAAAAAATTAGCCAGGTGTGGTGGCGCGTGCCTGTAGTCCCAGCTACTTGGAGGCTGAGGCAGGAGGATTGCTTGAGCCCAGGAGTTTGAGGTTGCAATGAGCTATGATGACACCACTGCACTCCCAGGAGACAGAGCGAGACACTGTCTTGAAAAACAAAACAAAACAAAACAGAACATCCCATTCCAGCAGCTGTAGCTTAAAAGCAAAACAAACAAAATAAACTTCAACCTGGTTAAATCTCATAAATGATCCAGAAAATCATTCTGAGCCCAAACCAGCCCCAGTGTGTTATCATCTTTTAGTAAACTAATTTTTGTATAATTGTCCCAGATTCACCAGACTAAGGAACAAAAACACATAAGGTAAGGATTCTAAATCCTGTAGTCTAACTTTAAAATTAAGGGCATATCACCCCATTTTTGGTGGAGTTAATTGTATTGACCAGAAGTTACTCAGCTCTGTGCATGTTGGGCAATTTAAGCCCAGAGGTGGTCTCTCTGCATTTGCTTGATTCTTATATTCATCGTGTGGTAGAAACCATGTGTTACTTCTAAAATAGTACAGCAGCAAAAGTGTTTGTTTTATCTAGGTCTTTCTTATTTCTTTATATAATATTACATTTTTCAAGATGTTATGTTTTTATATAATATTGCATGAAATGCCATTTTGTTTTTTCTTTGTTTCTTACTCCCCCCACCACAAAATATAGTCAACTGCTGCTAAATATATATTGTAAGTGAGAATTAGTGTTATAGCTCTGACAGTTCTGAAGTCATTAAAATTCTGTTCTAACTCTTAAGTTACTGGAATTTTTTTCCTGCATAATCAAGTAGAAAGAGCCTTGGTTTGAAAGTTAAGAGTCCTGGTTCTAATCTAACCTCTCGCTAACTAACCCTGTGACCAAGAGAGATGAGAATAAGATGGCTAATCTATGATTCTGTTTTCATATCTGCCCTGACCACCTTCTGAGTTGCTGTACAACCAGATAAAATAGCTGAAGTGAAAGAATTTTGAAAAGTCAAGTGTTTAACAAACGTAAGGTGGTTTTACATGAATTTGTATTTGTTGACAAATACAAATGTAATGTGATTTCTTAAGCATATAAACTCTCACCCAACAAGACCTCTGAATATACCCAGTATTAATGGCCCCAGTAACCAGCAAGTGCTTGGAACCCTACTCGATAAACAAATGCTGCTTTCCATTAAGAGGAAACACTAAGATAAATAGCCCAGACTGGATAATTTGAGCCACTACATTTCCTTTCTGTGGTCTCTTTAAGCAAGAGGTCAGGACTATTTTGAATAGCAACTTACAAATCACAAAGCTCACCTTCTCTTTCTTTCCTAGACCTCATTTTCCTTTCTCACATGGAATTTTTTTACTTCCACTCCCAGCTTGCCCAGGCAGCTGGTCCAAGAGTGGTTAAAATGAGAACAGGGCATGAATTAGAATCAGAATCAGATGGCAGAATCAAATTGCTAGATGGATTCTGGCCAATGTTCCTCACAAAGTGCTAGTTTCTGGTTACAGTGATGTGCAGCAAATGCAAGCACATGGATGCCCGTGAATGAGGGAATGAGTTCTGCAGAACGCCCCTTCAGCTACAGGGAAACAAGGATCAACTCTCTTCATCTGAGGGGGAGCTGCATAAGGCTCTTGTGGGGCCAACAGGTGCCGCTATCCAGGATCACCTGCAATCATTCTGAGCCACAGGCATCGTAGCAGAGAAGCGTCAAGAAGGGAGATGCTGACCGTGAGCCTCAGCAGTGGTCCTGCAGGGCCAGATGAACAGCACACTTCAGGGGCTCACTACCTAATCCGGGGCACCATGCTACCAGAGTGGGAGATGTCTCATAAGGTTTCATGAGTCATCATTTATTTTCCTGTTTTCTTACATTAGAACATAACGGAACAAATATGTATGCATTTTTCTATGCCGAAATATATAAATCGTAATTATTTGAGAATAAATGACATTCTATTTCTACATTTCAAATGGTACATAGGCTAAAACACATTTGCCGTGGCCTGGACTGGAAATGGACTCACCTGGTAGTGCACGGCCTGATTCTCTGACTTACACAGAGGGTTCCAACTAAGGCTACATGATCTCTGTGACGGGCAAGATAATGGCCTGCCAGGATGTGCAGGTCCTGATTCCCAGAACCTGCTTCTCCAGCCTGCAGCCCTCCTAAGCACCTAAGTAACACTCATCTCTATATAATTCCTGAGCAACCCTAGACTACAAATGGCTAGAAATTAAGTCCTGTATAACCGGGTTTTGTAAAACTAAGCCATTTCCAAGTTGTAGATGACTCCAATTAGCAGTGATTTCCAGAACTACATCTTAGAGTTTACATGTGTATTCCCCACGATGCTAAGAACAAAGTAGGAAACTAATAAATATTAATACCTGTTGATTAATTGATTAATTCTCACAACATAGGCCATTTCTGGGAAAAGCCTTTCTCCAAAAAAAAACCTAAACATGCTCAGTGCCGAATGAATGGGTAAGTGTGATACAACTTTCTGGAATCTTCTTGTTGTTCCAGGGCTGTCCCCAAGAAGCAAAACTAAATTCCCAGAATCAAATCAGCAATTATAGGACACCTGTTAATATATCCTGCTCCCCACTGGGCTGCCAACTGAGCCTTCTAATAGCTGAAAATCGGATCATCAGCTTCTCCAAGGCCTGAGAGGCCACCAGGCACATCCTTGTTCCCAGGGCCAGGAAGGGGAAGCCTAGGTAGCAGGGGTTTTTTTCCTTTACTTTTGAGTAATCTGCTCTGATACCCCAGTATCTCCACTCCTGAAATGTTGTCCAGATTCACCTTCTTAAAGTTTTCATATATAACACACTTTCTTTTCTGGTGAAGAATAATTAGGGGAAATTTTTTAGTGCAGATTTCCACTTTGGGAATGAAATCCAACATATTAAAAATTTTAAAATCATCTATTTAGGCATATATATATATATATTAACTAGTTATTAAGCTGCCATTTTGGGGATTATGTATTATAATTGCAGAAAGCAATATTTTAAAGCCAACCTAGGTTTAAGAGTAATAAATGAAAGCCATCAGGCAATGAAAAAAATTAAGTCTGTACATTGATAAACTTATTAGCATATAGTTTTATATAAAATGCTTTCATTTCAAAGTTTACTTTATTGTATTTGGCATGGAAATCATTTTTTAAATCAATGTGTAACATACTGAGAAATTAAATTTTTAGCTACCAAAATATGAGAGATACATGTTATCCTGAGCAAAAGGGTAAAGTTTTAATAGAAAATAAAACAATTCACTTCCCTGCTTATCTTCTGCATTTCTTGGTTTTCTCTCTTACCTCTTCCTACCACATCCTGTCCCCCAAAATAGAGGATTTGAAGTTTTAGCTTTTAGGATCATGGGTGCATTTACTGGTATTTGAAAAAGAGGATTCATTCTTTCTTAAATTAAAAGTATTAATACATCTTCTCAATGAATAATAATAACCAATAGTTGTAGTGCTTAGTATCAGACACTGCCCTAAGAGCTTTATGCTGATTCACTTAATACAACAACCTATGAGACAAGTACTAGCACCATCATCATTCCCCATTTTTTAGACTAAGAAACTAGAACTCAGAAAGGTCAAGTAACTTGGCCAAGATCACCCACCTGGTTGAGAGTGGAGCAGGCTGGTCCAGAGGCCACGATATTAATAGCTGCTCTATATTGCAGGATGATCCTGTGTTTCCAACAGCTAACACTGTCTACCTCCCCACTCCCTGCCAACTCCTTCCCAGAGTTCTTGTATTTTCAAGAGAATATGCTCACTCCTGTGACTCCCTTTATTACCCCACCTTCCTCTTCAACTGCCCTTTGCAACTCAAAGAGATTCCTCTAAGTAATCTCCCTTCTTAATTCCCTGCTACTTCCTCCAGAACAAATTTGAAGACTTCCTCTATTACCTCTCCTCTTCCCCCCATCATGTCCTTCCCATGGTTTACTTAGTGCCATATTTTGTTTTCACATTTTTGTTTCTTGTTTTTTTTTTTTTTTTTTGGTGATTTTGCTATTTAAAATGGCCCCCAAACACAGTGATGAAGTGCTGTCTAGTGTTCCTAAGCTCAAGAATGTGTTAGGAAGAAAACATGTGTGTTAGATAAGCTTTCTTCAGGCATGAGCTACAGTGCTATTGGCAGTGAGTGCAATGTTAATGAACCAAAAGTATATACAGTTGACCCTTGAACAGTGCAGGGACTGGGGACACTGACCCCATGCACAGTCAAAAATCCATGCATAACTTGTGAGTCCCCCAAAACTTAACTACTAATAGCCTACTATTGACTGGAAGCCGTACTGATAACATAAACAGCTGATTAACACATATTGTATGCTATATTATATATTGTATTCTTACAATAAAGTAAGCTAGAGAAAAGAAAATGCTATTAAGAAAATCATACGGAAGAGAAAATATATTTGCTGTTCATTAAGTAGAAGTGGATCATTATAAAGTTCTTCGTCCTCTTTGTCTTCACGTTGAGTAGGCTGAGGAGGAGGAAGAGGAGGGGTTGATCTTGCTGTCTCAAGGGAGGCAGAATAGTTGGAGGAGGTGGAAGGGGAGGCAACAGAGCAGGCACACTCAGTGTAACTTTATGGGAATACATTGTAGTTTCTGTCTGACTATTTTGCTTTTTCACTTCTCTAAAAATGTTTCTATGCAAT